CACACACACACACACACACACACACACACACACACACACACACACACACACACACAGAATATAAGTAGGCTGTAACTAGAGATGCTTAGATGCAGTTTATTGCACCAAGACTGAGTAAATTTAGCTTCAAATACAGTTCAAGATGTTAAATGCATTTAATTCCTGCCGATATATAATATATCTGTTCATGTTAATTATCCTCTAAATGCAAACATCTCAGTAAAAACATATATTAAAATGAATTAAAATAAAAATAAGAAGCCACCAGGCAGGCCACTGATGCGGCTGCTGGGTTAGAAGTGTTACTGCAGTTCGTAACAGTGACCAGCAGGGGGCAGTAGAGTTTAGTTTAGAGCTTAGGTTGAATTTCAACACTGAATTCTTGCTAAAATGAGCATATTCAGTAAAGTCAACTGGCTTTTTTTTTTTTACACAGAAAATTGTATTTAAAGAAATTATCTTGATTATATTCTCATTTAAATGATTTCCCTTAAAAATGATAACATCAATTTATAAATCATAATTTATATTTATATTTTAGATAACTAGAAGATCCTATTGAAACTGCATTTTGTGCTTTACGACAGATATCAAGAATGTAAAAAGCATCTCCTCAGTGACTCTGTACCTCCGCTGTCAGGCGAGCTGAGGACGTTCAGGGCGAACAGCATGGCGTTGGAAAAGGTGGTGGCCTCCTCCTTGCTCGCAAAGTTCAGCCCATAGACCTGCCGAGCGTCACGCCACTGATGGAAGGTCGGGGTGGCCTGATTGTACTTCAGGCCCTTCACTATGGAGTAGTTGATCACCACCTTTAAGACAAAAAGGACTGTGAGGCAGCAGCAAAAACAACAAAGTCGCCCCCACCAAGGCCATCAGACGCCGTGGGCTCACCTGCTGGTCCTGCAGTTTTACGCCCACCACCCTGAAGGTGTTGTTGGCAGTATTGTGGTAGATGTTAATGCGGCTGAAGCCCTGCTGCCCCGGTTTGATGGGCACCCATTTCTTACTGGCATCATCGTAGACCATGACGGAGGCCCGCGCCTGGCAGATGCTCTGCTCACTGGAAGAGGAGAGGGAAGTACAGGTTAGTCATGACATTTACTCAGTTCTTTTTCTTTATTTGAAATAAGATTAATAAAATCCTGCTGTTAAAAGTGAGAGAATCAATTCCCAAAAACACAAGCGTCAAAGACGCATTAAAGTCGTAAAATGAGAGTATTTTGCTTTAAAGTCAGCATTGACCACAAACTGTATCTCCCATAATGCATGTTGCCTATTTTACCTGTGAACTGATGARATCACTACCAGGTGGAGGTGCACAGTGTTCAAATCATGGAGGTGCTATAGAACAGCTGGAGTGCTCAGAAACCATGTGACCGTGTGATCGGCTGGAGAAGCTAACGGCTAACGCTAAACAGACAAGAGTCCGGATTTCCCATTACTGTCCATGTTGACAACAGAGCAGGAAAAAAAGACTGATGATGTAGAAATCATAAAAACTATTAATAATATTATTAATCAAATTATTATTAATATTTTACAGTTTATATAATTTATCTAATGTTTTTAAATAATGTCAGAAAAGCTGTTTGTGTTATGGATTTATTAACAAGATAAACAGGAAAACGTCTCATTTCACAACACAAGTCAGCAGATTTGATCTTATTT